TAGCAATACAGAACCATATCTATGGGAAAAAAACCCTTTAGGTTTCTTCTTAAAATGCTGCAATTCCTACCTCAAATTTCTCAACACTTCTAAGAACTATCTAGGTACTACCCAACAAGCTCAGTGCGACTGGGACGAATCCTGTCTCTTAACTTTGTAAAAGCAGTCCCAGCTGATACTGGGGCCTTTCTTGACCTCCAAGCTACTCAGGAAGTCTCTATCTCAATTTTTTTTCTTCAATTCTGCTAGCTGTAGTTATCCAGCTGCTATTTCTGCTTCCTTGTTGAGGTGAACCAAATTCATACGCAGACAAGAGGGATCTCTACTAAAAAACCTCCAAGGAAGAAAGTGAAAAGTGCCATCTAACACCTCTGAGCTGTTTGCAGACTACACGGGACAAAGAATTAGACCGCTCGCCTTGAAAAATGATGGCTTACATGAGCTTAGGGACTATGTGAACATAAGTGCAATACTGCAGGAAAAGATGTGAAATCACAGAGGTTACGGAATACTTTTTTAGGGTAAGTTTTCTGTTACTAGGGGACCAAAAAGCTGATTAAATCTTTTACATACAGTTTGAAGCAGAACTCATTTTCACCCCAATGAGTATGTTGAAGAAGACATAGTGGCAATATATGGCCAAGAGAATTTCCTCAGCATGCAAATTCCAGCCAAGATTCTGCTTGTGCTTAAAACCCAGCCCTAACATCCTATTTCTGCACTAAATTAAGACATTGGAGCTTCCCAGTTGCCTTTTGGAGGCAGATTTGCTTGGCTGCTGCGTGGGGAGCCTGTGGCCGTGCTGTGCAGCTGGGCTCATTAACGCCTGCGGCTCGCCGCAAACCCCGCTCCAGGACGGAGCCTGCACGGGCGCCCCGCTCCCGCGGCTGAACGTTGCCCCTCCAGCCACCAAGATGCACCAACAGCTGTTGCAGGATGCATGCAGCAAAACTGCCCACCTTTTAGGCTTCTGAACAGAAACGGCAGAGCTCCCCCATGGAGAACCTGACACACAGCTGCACTTCAAGCAATACAATAAACATTTGACTAGAGAAAGACCTAGACCATTTGACTCAAGAAAGCTGCATGCAGATTTCTGCTAAGCAAAATTTTGCCTAGCAGAGAGATCAGCAAAACTTCAAAACAGCAAGCCTGGAATAATCGCCTTTCTTTGAATTTGCATTGCAGTCACACTAACACAAGAAGCTATTTTTATAATTTTCCTAGCAACAACATATATATGGTTCCCATTTATAAACTTTTAAGCTCTTCATTTTTATGAATGTGATAGATGCAGGCATTTCACTTGAAGAAAAACAAACATTACAGGGTAAGATTTAATAGCTGAAAAATGACAAAATAAACTCCCTGCAGAATTTCTCTATGTTCTAGGAGATGAGATGACTGCTAGTAGATTTTAAGGTGCTCGCCTGTGATTTTGATTAATGGTAAATGTATCAAATCCCCCAGACCTTGAAGGTATTTAAATAACAGAATATTCCAACAATATGGGGGAAGGTGGAGATTAACTATAGTTTATGCCATTAAAAACCATGAATCTGCAAAAACAGACACAACTTTGCTCACCAAGCATGACATTAGTGAGCAATATTGTTTAAGTATTTTTTATTCTTTGATCAAATCTTTTTAACTTGTCAATATTTTACATTTGTAATACATTCCTACAGAATCTCTGATCAATATTACTCATCAAATCCATTATCTAAATATAGGGTTTCTAAATGGGAGGGGAAGAAAAAGGTAACTCTTCTTACTGGGCCTTAGAAAACATTTTTATTATTACTACTGTGGCAAAACATATCTTTTTTTGAGGCAGAGAAGACTCTGAAATTACCCCTTGCATTGTTAGAACCTGCATTTAACAAAAGGATTGGATTCAAAAGAGACTGCAAAGACATACTGCCCAGGATCTCATGACAAAACCTTACAATAAAATCTTAGCACTCTGACCTCTCCTGGAGGTTCATACCCTTTGACAACTGCACCAATGCCATACCAAATCTCAATGAAAGAACCAAGATTATGCAAGTCTCACAGATACATCCTCATTTCTTTTTCTTTGAAAAGCAAACAAGGAGGTCCTCACCTGCCATTTTTGATAATTTAACTATATAAGAAATAAAGGGCTAAGTAAAAAGCATGGAGCAGTTTCAAGGCTTGCAATCTGAAGTTCCTAGTACACAATTTTCCAGCAAGAGCAAGGTAGGAAACCACCAGGAGTATTAATGGTGATGAGCGGGAGATAAAATGAGCCTCATCATTCTGGTGCTAACAGGCCTGTCAGGAAGATGAAAGGAACGCATCATAGGTGGGTGCTGGCAGAGGTAGCTGCAGCAGCTGAAGATACAGTTGCCCTGGGCTGTCCACCTTCCTCTGCAGATGCCTTTCTCTATCATAAACACTGCGGCATCTGTGCCTATAGCTGCCACCCAGAAATATCACCTTGAACTTCCGCAGACAAGTCTTCCACCCTTGTGTCATTCTCTATTGCTAGTAACGAAGGTGCCAGGAAAAAGCACATACAGTTCGCATCCACTCACTGCAACCTATCATCAAGTTTCTTAGTGGCTGGAGTCACTTTGCTCAAGCCCATTACACCACTGATGCAAAATCATTCAGCTTACTGGCGGAAGCTTAGAAAAGAAAACATAACTATATAACATATCTGGTAATCAACCAAGACCTGTGATGGGATCTACACTTGTAAAGCATAAATAAGCAAACAGCTAGCCCAAAATGGCATTTTTAAAGAACAATCCACCATATTTTTAAATGGCAATATGAATTGCATAATAATTAATAATCTACCGATTCTTAATACTTGAGCTGAGATGCACATACTAAACCTATCACTTGACAGGCTAGAGAAATGGACCAACAGGAACCTCATAAATTCCAGTAATGGGAAATGCAAAGTCCTGCACCCAGGGCAAGGAATAACACCCCTCACCACTACGTAAGAGGCCCCTGCTTTGGTGGGTTCCCAGAGAGGCTGTGCAGCCTCCACCCTGGGAGACAAGCAAAAACTCGACTTGAACCAGCATGGGGCAACCTGCTCCAGGTGACCTGCTCGAGCAGTGGGTTTGGACTAGGCAATCTCCAGGGCCCCCTCCAACCTCAGACTGTGAATTACTTACGACTTCAGTAATGAGACTTACAATAACTGACCAGATCCAAACAAATCAATTTTATCAAGGAAAAATAAAAATCAAGAGCTTTACACCAACAATGAACACGATTTGGAAATTATTTATTTTGTTCCTTTGTTACTAAGTTAGTAATATTGACAGCTGTAAGTTTCACCACCTACACTGCTGTTACTGTTTCTTAATGAAGCAGGAAACAAAAGAAAAAAAGGAAAAGAAAGTAAACCACTGATTTTTCTTTTATAGGAGCTGTATCAAAGCTTCTTACAGAAATTAAGCCTTAAATTCCCTGAAAAAGGATATGCATTTTCAAGCAATAGATAAATATGGCAGTTATTGATATCAAGTCCTCATTTCAGAATTGTTTCTTCTGTGAGAAACCAATCATACAAATGCTAGAAACAAAACATATTTAATGTTACCATTAGATGTAGAGGTCAAAACCTGTTTACTGCTTAAAACAGACCTTGCAATCATATTCTTACAATAGGGCTTTTGAAAAGCAAGCCATGGCGGCTGTACAAAATAATGTTGTAAAATATTTTAATAGCCTTACTATTTTAAAACTGCTATTTTACTTATGCTTTTAAAGACTAATTTGCTGTACTTCTTTTAACTCAAAAACATTTTCAGTTTTATCAAGAGACAGGTTTAGTACAACCATCTGGTAATCAATGCATTAGATACAAACTATCTAGAAAAAGACATGATCCCTATACCAGTCTTTTCATTCCATCTTCTCCTCACTGAAACTAGATCTCCACAGAAGTCAGCATCAACAAGTGGCATGAGCATAACCTTGACAAAGCTAGATAAGTAGGAGGAAAGAAACATATAGCAGATGGATAAAGAAGCACAGAAGACACAAAGCTTGAAAAAAGGATTTGGGGTGGAAAACATGAATGCAGAGAATTGGAAAGGAGACTCAAGGAAAGGCAAAATTTAGACCAGATTGGCAAGAGACTATGAATGCTGCAAGTGCATCACACTTCCCTGATATGTTCACGCAATCCTTCTCACTAGTTATCCAAGGAAATCTAGTAATGTTTGTCATTCCAAGCAGCTGATAACCAAACTCAAGACCGATCCTATTTTGTTGGTCCAGTTACTGAGTTAGGCTAGGAAAAGGCGGTACCAGTTACATTTGGTGCCTGAACATTAGTATAAATTCTTCAATGCTACAAAGTACAAAGTATTAATATTCCATTCAAAAGAAATTACTGCAAATGCCAAGTAACGCTTCTATAAATCTTCGAAAAAAGAAACATTTCCAAGGTAGCAGGTTAGCTGGAAACCATGTTAAGAAAGCTATTGAGCTACATCACTATGGGTATGCATACTGAACTACCCATCAGCATCAAGAGAAAAATACAAACACAGAAAATACATAAACTAACATAAATGGCATTATAGTCCTCAGTCCTTTTTACTAAATACTAAGGTTTAGTTTTTAACTAACTTTCAAAAACTAGAAGAATGCACATGCAACCTACACCACTTATTACTGAGGATCTGGTTGAAACATCCAAACTCAAATGCAAAATAAAAACAACTACTAATTCTTCAACTAAGTAATATTTTAAAAGATGTCATAGTTAACACAGTGCTGTACCAAGAAGCCTTCCAACAGCTCAGCTCTCCTGAAGATACGAGCAGCAATACTGAAAGGAAGGCGAGAAGCAAATCAATGTTCCAAGGTTAATGAACTAAAGCCACGTAATTATGAATTCATCGTTGCTACTTGTTATTTGTTAGGAAACCGTGAATGAAGCAATTAAGCGCACACTCGTCGAAACGGAAAAGCCACCCGTACTTCGGGTTTCTAGCACTTACCTGCATGCTTTTAGAACTTCTGCTGAGCTGGGATGTATGGACACCGACATCGATGGTATGATCTGAGGATTAGGTTTGTGGCTAATCGGAGGAGGATCTGCTTTCATGGGGCTCTGAGAGTCCTCCAACCCCTCTCCATTAACTGTATGTCCACTGTGAGGGCTGTTAAGGCTGGTAACACTGTTTGTGGTGGTCTGTTCCGTAGATTTTGGAGAAGGTGTTGCTGTGGAAATGGCTGAAGATGGTGAGGAGGCAACAGAATTCTCAGTCTTTGTATGAACAGCTGGATGAATGTTATTGACTTTGTCACAGGTTCCAGTACCCACATTGTTATTGGCTTTTCCCATCAACAAGGCAGAGAGCTGAGGATTGTCTGAACTAAGTAAACCTGGTGACTTAGAATCTCCATGGCTAGGGCTAGAAACAGCATCTGCCGTCACCTGATGGACATGATTAGGAAGTCCCTCTACACCGGCAGTGCTGTTAGGTGTCTCTCCAGAATGCCTGCTTGTTTCAGGCACTGCTGATGCGTTTCCTGAAGGCTTGCTCTCTTTGGTTAAGGTAATGCCTTGTTGTCCACCTGAGGTAGCAGTGTGAGAGGAGAGGTGATTGAGAGCAGCCCCCTGTGTTGCTGAATTGCTAGGCGCGGCGGGATGTCCGTTCTGGTTCTGCAGACCAGCGCCAGCCGCCTGGAGATGCTGGGAAGGCCCAGTGGAAGAGAG